ACCGACACGAGATTTCAACAAGTCTCCTGTAACCTTGATATCCTAGCTACCATGAGTAAACGCCTTACTGGTTAAGATCATGGGAACCAACAGAATTCATTCACATTCTGTCATAGCGCTGCAGACTTCGTTATGCTTCTTTCACCGCACCATATTGTTTGTTTATACCAACTTGGTTATAGACAATCATATCCAAATTTATTAAATTAAGTATTGTCATTATTATTAATTTTTGGCTAGTAAAAACCTAAAAATCTTATTTTTATTGATTTTTGTTGTAATGATCAAGTTGATTTTATCGTATAACTGCACGACTGTCAAAAAACAATTAAAAATATTCCCCCTCTCTCTCTCTCTCTCTCTCTCTCTCTCTCTCTCTCTCTCTCTCTCTCTCTCTCTCTGATTGACGAATCATCCGTGTCGATTGTCTACCACAATACGTGTGAAGAAACTGATTTGGGTGTGTGTTTTTATTTTAATCTCTCAACCAGACTGATTGCAATTAGCATTTCAGTTTGACGTCGATACATCAGTTCAAGTCGTAAAGTAGCAACTGGGCAGCAACACTTAACAGGACTTCATCAGGTGATTTGCTTTAGTCTTTGGTTTTACGACCCCAACCCCAACCAACGCACGCACATCGAGCCAGATTTTGGCTTGAGCTTGTCAAAGTGAGAAAAAACAAAATTAATCAAAGACAAGAGTTTACCACTTACTTCCATTCTTTGCTGTGGGGGCTTGCAAACTATCATAACAGTAATCGGTACCCAAGTTGAAATCGACATTTTCGAATCTTTGCTTATGGTACTTGCGGTCACGTAGTTTGTTCTGCTACAGTTCAAACCTTTATTGTTTCATTTCACCTTTGTTTGTCCCTTTTTTCAATTTAGTTACTTTTTAGGTTAGTCAGTTTTTGACCACTTCCTGTTAGCCCTGAATTATCACCGTAACCGGTACTGTAAATCATGAGCTAAGCACGTGGTTCATATTTTTCTCAGCCTCCTAAATCCTACTCCCAACGACAACATCGCCGGTATGTAAACTTTAAATCCTTTCCTCGCTACATTGGTTCATTTAATATCAAGTTATTATTTTTATATGTTTATTTTGCGTTTTTATCTCTCTATATAGAATCCTTTTCAACACGTTTTCGCTGTTCCCAAACTGTAACTGTCTTCCTTTCTGAAAACTGCAACATTGAAACGTATTCCTGTAGCAAACTTTATACATAGTCATGTAAGCAAAGTATTTTCTAACTTCCTTTAGCCATTTAGACAAATAGTCTTGCTTCTATATTCAAGCCTTTGGCTGTTTTTTTTATATTCATTTTTATTCCTTTGTTTGGTATTCAGAATACACTCGTCTTATATGTGCATTTATTTCTTTTACTAGTTTTACTCTTTTGGCTTTTAATGAACAGGACTTCGTTTTCAGAGTCTTAACTGCTGTAAGGCGTTTATCACGTACAAGATGAATGCGTACTTGGAACTTTTATATATTCTCCGGAAAGGGACATGTCCAGTTTAGCTTGCCGTCCATCTAGCTATTAGATATTTCAACAAGGTTACCATTACGAGCATGCTACAACAATTAAGGAAGAAGGCTATAATCGGGCCATGGATTATTCTTTGCTACATGTTTCATGTTACTTCGAGCGGAGGTTAGAACTGCCAAATCATACCTACCCCTAGAGATGTCATGAAGTAACCAGCATGTCAAACGGATAATACCTGATGTTCTAAATATGGATTCATTTAAAAGCCAGTGATTTTTCAGTTATTTTTATCATGTAAACCAGTTTCCTATTATTTAGAGAGAGACTCCTTCAAGTCAATTTCCATAGCCTAACGATGACATATGAAGGAATCTGCATGACAACTCGGTTATCTTCTAGACATTGAAACCTAAACAATTCAAGTATTCTTCCCGCACAAATCAAAAAAGTAAAGCAAAAAAAGGATTTGATGAAGTTGTTTTGTTGTTGTTGTTGTTGTGCCGGATTCACATAAGAAATGTGGAGAACGCAGGAATTAGTTTGAGATCTAGCTGAAGTTCTCAGGTGAAATATTTTAATTATTCCACAAATTATTCTTTTCAGTATCATTTAAAAATATGATTTGGCCGATTGGAAAACCGAAGGACATATTGTCCAAAACGCTCTGATAAAATATTATCTATCTGGCCAAGTGGTTTACAACGTTCGCATCCTGACCATGAGACCCGGGTTCGAATCTCACCAAGGTCGATTTGTCAGGAAAAAGACTTCCTGATATTATTGGACAACATTTTATGAGTCGATCCCAGCATGCAGCACCTTTGGAAAGTGCCTGAAAACCATACCATGGTTTGACCTAAGGCTTATCAGTAAAATTGGGCAGACGGAACCCTTGGTAAAAAGTTATCGTGGCCGATATTTTGAGAGTGCCGGCCTTGTTTATATTGTTGATCATGCTAGTAACAGGTTTTTCCCAGAAACTGTAATTACGGTCTGCTCAGCATAGTTGCAGTATAAACCACAGGTGATCTCTGTGTGTGTTTAATAAACACAAATGCGCCTGAGCAAGTGTGTGCAATAGGGATTGGTTAACCGCCCTAGTAGACGGCTATCGTCGAATACGGGTGACCAGCTATAATCATCTAACTAGCTCTTCTCTCACTTTTTAATTTTTCTGAACATAAATCATTTTTCTTCTTTCATTTATTCGATCTCTGCCTTAGTTTTTTCCAATATCTCTTGACCATCCAAAATACTCATTATATAATGCCTATCGAGAAATAAATTACCCTCCCACTCCCCGCCCTTTCATTAGTCCTCAACTCTCTGAGTAGCACAACATTGGTGTTATGGTTTTTATCTGAAGATTCACAATTTGTTCACAAGATTAACATCACCGTGTCAATGCAAATAACTGACAGATTTATAGGCTATATTGTTCCCTATTACCAACCAAGAGGCAAATAGAACCAGTTATTAAGGAAAAAAAGGTTATTATTTGTGGGAAAGAGGAAGAAGCAAAGTAATAAAGATTACTGTTTATTCGTCTCATTAAGTTCAACCAAGTGTACGTCAAGGTCATGATGATGGAGTAACCACTTAAAATTGGACTCATTATTAAGTTACAAAACCTTTTTTTGGTGCAAACATACTTCTTCACGGCTTCCCTTTCTTTAAAATATGTCATCTTTGCTATGATTGCCCTTGACGGGATTGTTTTGCCATTGTCTTTTCCACTGGTTTGAATTCACTGTTTTCCTTCCCCATTTTTTCATTTTTCTATCAAGTTCATCCCATGTTAACTTTCGGGCTGGCTTCAAACATTTGAACTGT